ACAGTGGAATCAAGAATAGCTTCCCTCTACGAATTCATCTATGGAATCTTTCCAATTAAAACAGATGAAATGTTATTCTCAAATATTWKTTTTGATCCATACATTTCTTTGTAAAATTTACAAACATGTTTTTATACATTTATGCGAAGTACCGCTGCGATTGCGGGCTCAAATGTCCGGATTTTCTGGCCTTGCACAGCTTTTACTTGACAAGGCAATTTTGGTACTGGAATTTAAGTCTAATGTAGGAGTTTCTCCCTGCTGTCCAGGGAAGTAAAAAGCACACGTTTAGCGCATACACAATAGCAAAGCTGTCTTTTTCGATGGAAAGCGTTTATTGGTGACTGCATCTCCTATTCTATGATTGAGTTTGCTAGTTATTCATATCAAACTCAAGCGTAACCTGACAGTCCCACGAAAAGACACCAGATTTCAAGACTTTTTGAAGAAATGCAATGATATTTTAATATAGAAGACAATTCTAAAAACCCACCGTCGAATTTAACAAAATAAAATATGTATGTGACCTTTCTTCGTGAGAAAATTTAAAATCCAGGTATGTATTTTCGCCTTTGAAGGGTTTGAGTTGAGCATCAAAATAGACTGGCGATCCATGTTTTGAACACGGTTCTCTCTCCAAAAAACTGGGCCTCCTGCATAACTTATTTAGTTAATGACAAACCTGCCATCGAATTTATGAAATAAAATATATATGTGACCTTTCTGTGTATTCTTCGTGAGAAAATTTGAAAATCCAAGTATGTATTTTCGCCTTTGGAAAGTTTGAGTTGAGCATCAAAATAGCCAGGCGATCACAGGTAGCCCAATCTAGGCATTTGTGTACTTTTTATACATATTTAAAATATAACAAAAATAAACATCTCTACCTGTGTATTGCGTTTTTCTTTACATTTCTATGAAGTTTCAGGCCATTTCCTTCAATTTTGAGCGATTTATGCCTGATGTTCTCCAGCGTAACACGGTTCGCTTCAAAAAACTGGGCCTCGTGCATAACTTATTTACAAATAGCTTATGAAATTTGGCGCATTTTGATATGTGATACATCTATCGTTCCGAAGAAATACTTGTGTAAAAATGGCTTTAAGAGTATTGTATGCTGAGGTTTTGATTATTCTTTGAAGGCTATTGAAGTAAAAGCTATTGTTGAAGAGTCCCAGGGTTTCGGAGAGCAAAATGCAAGGTATTTTTTTAAAGCTTAATGACCGATAAACCTAAATATTCTTTAAAAAAAACTGCCGTATTTGTGCTTTTTTCAGCCTCTTCATTAAGATAACATATCAAAAGATCTAGTCTAAGCAAATGTCACCCGATGTATGGCAATAGGTTTGATATGTTTTTTTTCTCCTTTGAGCAGTGTTCAAAGTAAGATCTAACGACTTACGAAACTTGGAATTTTTCAAAGCCATCGTTCGAATTAGAGTGTTGCCAGTAGAGGGTTAAGCAACTTAAAAACAAAAGCGTCACGATAGCCATGGCCCTTTTTCATATGCACTATAGACCTTTTGCCAATACGGCCGTCATCTGGAATAAATTATGATTGTCGATATTCAGTAAGAGCCTATGGGATCCCCGGTGGGCAATTAATAAACAAGGCGGGCCAAATTGCCAAATAGACCTAATCGGCTTCAACCCAATTCAARCCAYCCGGGAGTAAGTTTCATTGTTTGTTGTATTTTCATTTCACAGTTGAATTCTTAGAAACAAAACTTCTTTTTCCCACAGGATTTGAATTGGGTGTCAACGTACATACCAACGCCGCTAGCCGATTAGGTCTACTCCACGTTTTTTACGTAGCCATAATGTTTGTAGTCACCTTTTTTGGAAATAATATGAGTTGAACTAAAATTGCGCACTATATATAGGGTGTTCTCTCAGGGCAATAGTTCATTCCTAAATATCACACTTTTCTCACCTTATGATTGTTCCTTCTTTTTCCTTTAAATTTCTGTGTGAATCAGATAGATAGCGACGAGCTACATATTTAACAATCAGGGAAATTTGTCTAAAATTCTATCAATAATAAATAAAAAAAAGATTTTTATTTACGCCTTTTTGAAATCAGTGATTTCTATTTTGTTTCATGCTGTATGATTTTACCTCAGGAATAGATTTAACGCAATCTCTTTGCTGATATACTTTTCTATCAAAGCGTTATAGAATGAGTTCGTTCAGGAGGAGAATATTTCTGAATGTATTTGCTGTCAACCAGTCATAATCATAATCGTGACAGCCTCATCCCTATTGGCCACTGCAGACGAGACCAGCGTCATCCCTATTGGCCACTCCACTGACAAACTATATAAGAACAGTACTTTTATATACATTTCGATATATGTGCTCAGTAATTTTGCATCAGTATGTATGATATATAAGGACAGTAATTTTACTACATCGTCCGTTGTGACTAAAAGTGCCCATGCTAACAAGATTATTTAAAGTAATTGTTTGTTCATTCCTACACCAACATGAAACATAAACACCCTATTTGTGTGCCAAATATTTTATTTTTATTGAGACTAAACCATCACCCTACATTACATTATCTTATAGCTGTGCTTTTACTTGGTTACATGAAATAACTGAAATAACAGATATATTGAGCCTCGAACTACTGTAGAATTATTTTTATTTTGCTCAGAAAGGCTGTAGCATTATGGATTAATAAACCAAATGGATTCTGAGAAAATTCATTAACAATTGGACCTACTTTACTGAGTACATGTTAGTACAATGTTTATACCGGAAAGTCGTGTTTCAGTTTTTAGTTTGACTCTGATTGACTTTCTTTCATTCATTTAAAAAAAGCTGGTAATTGTTTTCCATTCATTCTTCCGCATTTGATCAGCAAATCAGCAAATCAGAAGCAAGCATTATTGAGTAAAAAAGAAAACAGAAGAGGAAAGAAAAAAGAACAAAAGAAAGAAAGAAACCGMCATATTTAAAGGTGCTTTCACTGATTTTTTTGCAATCCAACTTAATTTTCAACATAACAGGTTTTTTAATATAAATCCTACAAAAACTTTCTAAAGAGTATTACAATTACTTGTTGAATGAGTTTCAGACAGCTTCATTGCTAGTTAGTGGTTTCATAGAAAACCTCAACGTCACTGGGTGTAAAGTGAGTGTTGCCTGTGTAGAATGAGCTGCCACCTGGTGGAGCTTTGTATGTGTACACAGAGTGGAAACTACCAGCATTACTTGATGCCTGGTTAGATATGTACATGTCATGAGCACCGAATGTAGGACCATAACCACTGTCTTTATATATAGCATACTGGTGACGCTGTACAGCAGGTAACTTGACGGGACTGTAACCACGTGTGTTGTTCAGTGAGAACAGGAAAGCTTTAGTGGAGAACGTGTAGCCACTGGAACCTGTCACAGTAAATCAATAATTAAGACTACATAAAAAACATAGTATCCTGTTGTCAGTGAATATTTGAAAAAGAAGGCTTTGTATATTTTCACGAACGATACAACACTAGAAATAACTTTAAAAGAAAAATAAAATATTTTATACAATATATTTTTTTAAATTCCAATAAACAAATTGAACTTTCATTGCCAAAAAGTGGACGAGAACTCCTAAACTACAACTCATGCATCATTTTAAAGCTAAATAAATATAGAAAACGATTATGTGGTTTAAAGAAATCATTTTTGTTTTAAATACTGCGTTAAAGGATGACGAATTCAAAGGGTGTTGTTCGTTGTATCCAAATATTTTTCAGCATTTATCAATCAACACTTACTAGGCTACCAAAACATGTGAGCGATTTTCAATATTGTACTTAGTTTAGAAATAAAAGCTTTTTCAATTAGAAGTTTGATTAATATTCATTGACAGCAAAAACTAGGTCGTACTTAAAAGTTGCTCACCCGTTTTTGAATCTTCAAGTGATCAGTTAATTAATGAACGAAGATGTCTGACTGAAAATGTGTAACGCAAAAGCTTTTTTTATGATTTGCGCAAAACACGAACCGGAGAAATTGCCGGTTGAAGTTGTGAAAAAATCTTTATCTGTCAACTGGATTGCGAGAGTTCACTAAAACGGACCAATTAGAATGTCTGTCCCTGTAGTTGGCGGAAAACGAAGAATACAAGCATCATATACTCCGATCATACAATTCCGTTCGATAACTATTTTTCTTTTGCGCATTTTCCATCTGAAACGATCCACGGACTTCCGTCACGGAATATAAGGATTAAAAGGTCGATTAAAGACTTCGTTTTCCTAAATATCTCGACAGTAAAAATCTTTTTCGAAAAAATTATTTTTGCATTTGAAAGATAACAGAGATAATCCCGTTTGCTGTACAATAAAAAAATTAAGGGTGCATTAATCGCAAAGAAATGAGCTGTCATTGCCAAAAAGCTACTCCTAAGCTAGAATTCATCTGTTCTGCACGATTTTATTGAAGATCGATTGAATATTCAGTACTGAGCCAGGGATACATCCATTACTTTTTTTAACAACGACTCTAAAAATTGCTATTCTCCGTCGATCGCATTTAAGTAGTTTAGCTCTAACTTACACTTGTGAAAAACGCAAGTTCCTTTTTAAATAAGTAAAATGTTGTCCATCAGCAAGGAAACATTTTCGATTCTACTGCGCCCACACTAGTCAGATATCTTTCGAAATTAGTATTCGTCAATCGCTCGTGAAATCGGCTGMTTTCGARCGATGAGCCCATTTCGATATACAGTTAATCCCATTGTAAAACTCATGAATAATTAATGAGGAAAACACAATAGAAATCACCAACCGTGAAGAGTGTTGTAATATTTGATACAAAACTGTCTTGATTTGCATAAACTTCAAATTTAATTTTCTCAGCCAAATTCAATTTTATCTTTTTAAAAGTGTTCTTAAAAGTTTTTAGTAGATTATGAATGTATACACCTTAACGTTTCACAAGTCATTTACAACATTCGCGTCCGTGTTATATGGGCTTTATGGGCCTTTGGCTTGAAATTGTAAAATCCCATACAACACGGTCGCTCATGTTGTAAACATTACTTGCAACACATGTAACCCAGTCTCAGTATGATGATAAATCTACACAAAAAGTATTATTTCAAAAAGTCTTGTGATAAGATCGAATTTTCGGAGCAATTGTGAAAAACCAGAAGTACATAACTAGAAGTGTCCATCACGCTAATAATATCGCCACCATCAGATGTCCCGATAATCTATTTTTAGATAACCAATCACAACGCGCGCACATATATCACGGTATCTGATTGGTCCTTGTTGATCTACTTCAAGAGCGGACAAGAAAAAGGAAAATGTAGTCGATGGAGGCGAACGAAGTGAAGATTGCATTGCAAGAATTTTACAACTTTTGCTGAACAACCGTTTTTGAATTGATAGAAAACATACTTTAGTATATGAGCAATGTAGCGAAAGTAGTTCAAGAGCAAYATGGTCAGTTAAAACAGGAAAAAGGTTCAGACGAAGATGAAGAAGACCGAAATGGATTTGTAGCCGGATACTAGGCAAAGGCTAGAAAAATAAGACCGGTATCCTGGAACGGAAGTAGGACGGTTGTGTTTGATTAAAGGAAAGTAACTGACAAATATTCGTTTCGTGTACTGAAGTCCTAAACATAYACATTTTCAAGGTTACCTCAGACACTCCTGGTTRTATACTACTGGAAAAACTAAGTTAATTTTATTACAAAGCACAAACATACCTTACGGCAGTCCCCGAAAAGACATGTTAATCACATCAGCGATTTGAATGTTTTGCAATTCCAAGGAACAATCCTTCGTTTGACATCATAAAATGTTCAAAAATGCCAAAAGGACTTTTTCAATTCTAAAACTGTCGATATTTCAAAAGTGAAGTCGGACTTGACTATGAGAAACTCAATGGCGTGCACGTGAAAAGTTGATCAGGGCCGTCAGACTGTTTTGGCCGGAATTCTTGATCGCAAATTTAATTTGAATGTGTTTTTAGTTCAAACTAATCAAAACAAAAGTTTAACAAAAACCGCAGTTTTTACACTATTCCAAGTTGCTGGAATCTGCGCATACGTTTGGCTCTGATGCTTAGAAATGCATTCTTATGAGATCACAAATACAACGTTTGTAAACAAATGGCTTTTTGATCACATAAAAGCGCAAGTAACATTGAACAATTTGTGATGATGTGTGTACATCTATGATATTTGGGCTTCCTGTAAAGTTACGTTAAGACAGCCAATAGTTGATCTTCCGATTCTAAAATATCGAAATCACCAGTGGCTAGCCTGAATTCTTGGCTTGCACATGACGTCATCAGTCAAAAAAAAACACAAAAATCACAGACACACTACATTGTAAACTTTGTTTACTGTTTATTCGTTGAGTTATTAGCATGTATTAGCGTTCAAAAATATGTTACGTAATACTGCCACGCGACTTGATACACGCCAAAAATACTCGAAAAGCCTATGAATCTTAAAACAATTATAGTTTCAGCATCAATTTAAATGTTTACAATGATATAGTTGTAAAGTTAAAGCAAAATCATTAGTTTTGAGCTCAATTCGATACTCGGAGTTACGGTCCGCCATTTTGAAGTCCCTGACCGGGACACAATCATGGCGGCCCCATACATTTCTTTGTAAAGGAAGACCGTATTCAAACGCTTATATTTTTGCTAGGAAATCACAGTTTTGATTCAAACTTTGCATAACTGTTGGGAGTTATATACTTTTTGATCCTTGAACTTAAAAAATTAATTTGAATCTTAAAACAAAGCTTTTTGTAGGCATTTCTTGATCAGTCCAAAACGCATTGAGCCGTGTAATCCCATACATTCTTACCAATTTTCGATCGCTCGTATTTCTGTTAAAATTCATTATTTCGGCTCTAAATTTCGTCATGATCCTTAAATTAAGATGTTCTCTCGAGAACATTAATAAAAGTTTGCTAATTCTGCCTCTAAATAGCTTTTTTAGACTATCACGTGATCAGTGAAAGCCAAGAAAAATTTTAAGTTTTTATGAAGATTTTGGACTGATTTTTGCGACATTTTTGATAATTTGAAGCGGTTTTTGTCGTTCAGAATGAGGCTGATTCAGCCACTGGTGCGATTCTGATATCAGGTTTACTAAAATATTCAGTTTCAGTTATTCAACACGCAAAACAATACATACTTAAAGTATATTTGCTTTAATATTCAATGATTATTGTATAACCTAAATCGACAAATGTCAATTCGCCTGGGTTTTACATTTGACAAATCATGTTGCAATATTTYAAATTTGGCGGGAATCTCAAACGCGGATATAGAAACGRCCMGRGTCTCAAATTTGTATGCTTACGTAACGGAATCAATGACCTTTCTAGCGTGGGCTAAGGCCCGGGGTGACTTCCTTCTAAAAGCTGGTAGGTAWGCTCGACGGACGGATTGAAAAATGACCCTAAAATGTACGACCACATCTATTAAAATCTATTTCTTTATAACACTTCTTCAATTTTTTTTCGATGTTCGAAAATTGACCCTAAAAGGCACGGAGTCAGCTCAGGAACCTTAAAGGTCCGTCGAGCATACCTACCAACTTTTATAGGGGAGTCCCTCCCCCCGGGGGGGGGGAGGGCAAAGGTTTCAAATTAGAACAAGACGAAACTTTGTTTATCAATAATAAATGTTTACAGTCATAAGATATCACTGATAACGCATTTCGACATTTAGTCTACCGTTTGATATAGCATATATTAGTCAAAGCACATCTAAGAGTGCATACCGTATTTACTCGAATAKACRCCGCGGCGTTTATTTCATTTTTCACGATCCAGCTGCGGCGTTTATTCGAGGGCGTCGTCTATTCGGGGGCGGCGTTTATTAAAA